GTTGGACTTTTGGACATTCATTTCCAAACCCGATTTTGCCGCAAAGTCCCTCAAGCAATCCATGAGGATTTGAATAGAACGTGGGTCACCCCGAGAGAGAAGCATTAAGTCATCTGCAAAGGCAAGATGGGTGATTTTAAGAAACTCACATTTAGGGTGATAGTTGAAGCCCGTTCCACTTGCCGTGCTCCGGTTCATGAGCCTTGAGAGGTACTCCAAGCAAATGACAAAGAGATATGGCGAGAGCGGGTCACCTTGTCTCAACCCCTTAGCTCCTTTGAAGTGGCCACATAGCGATCCGTTGATTGAAATTGAGTATGAGGTGGTGGTGACGCACTCCATGATCCAATTTATGAATGTCTCCGGGAATTCGAGCCCGTGAAGGACTTGCCTCAAGAAAGCCCAAGAGATAGAGTCAAAGGCCTTACGGAGGTCTATCTTGATTGTGCACCTCGGAGAGATCCTCTTTCTCATGTATTTTCGGAGTAACTCTTGCATGAGATGAATGTTGTCGGTCATGTTCCTACCCTTCACAAAAGCGGCTTGAGCTCCGTCAATGATGGAGCCGAGGACGGAGCTAATGCGTTGGGCAAGGATCTTGGAGCAAACTTTGTAAGTAGTGTTGCAACATGCAATCGGTCGGAAGTCCGAGACTTGGGACGCGTGGGGGCCTTTACGAACCATTACTAGAGTAGTATGGTTCCATTGCTTGAGGAGGCGGCCATTTGTAAAAAATTCTTGTACGGCCGAGGTGAGGTCTTTTCCAACAATGTCCCAACTTTTTCGAAAGAACAAAGAGGTGTACCCGTCCGGGCCGGGGTCCTTACCGCTTTCAATGTCATTGAGAGCGTCTTTGACTTCTTTATCGGAAACCGGGGCAAGGAGGGCATGGTGTTGTTCTTGTGAGATGAGCGGGCCATGTCGGATGGTGTCGGGATTGATGTCCTCCGTCGGGGTCCTTGAGCCAAGTAGCCTTTCGAAGTGATTAACAAACTCTTTGGGCACGTCTTCAAGAGTTGTTGTCATACTCCCGTCATCTTTAGCAATGGAGGCAATAAAATTCTTTTTGGCCTTCCTTTTCACAATGGCGTGGTAGAATCCGGTGCACTTGTCTCCCTTGATTTGGAATTGGCACTTCGCTTTTTGTTGGAAGAAGTGCTTCTCCGCTTTGGCGAGGTTTATGGAGTTGAGACGTAGCCCGGGTAATTATGCCTTCACCTCCAAGTCATTTGGATTGTCATGAAGTTTTTCTTGAGCTAACTTGAGAGCTAGCTTTGCATTGTTTGCTCGAATGGAGATTTGGGAGTAGTGTTCGGCATTGAGCTCGGAAAGCTCGGTTTTCAAGGACTTAAGGCGTCCGGAGAGTTTAAATTGCTCCGTTCCCCAAATCCTTTGATTCAAGCTTGTTGGACCCTCGGTTTGAAATCATTGTGCTCGGCCCACATATTGTAGAACCGCCAAGGTGACCCTTTCCCCCTAATGTGCTCAAATAAGGAGACAACACAAGGAGAGTGGTCGGAAATGCCCGGGGCAAGGAATTTAGCTTGGCAAAAGAGGTCCTCTTGTAGCCATTGGTTGTCCACCATAGCACGATCGAGCTTGGACCATATGGTGTTGTTTGTCCAAGTGTGGAAAAATCCGATAGATGGGGCATCCACTATGTTATGAGTGTCACAAAATGCGGCGAAGTCCATGGTGTCCCGGTTGGATACGGGCTCCCCATTAATTCTTTCCTCCGGCCGGAGGATCGCATTGAAGTCTCCCATGAGTAACCAAGGCAAATTCACATGCGACTTAAAGCTATCAAGGTCCCTCCAAAGATGCTTACGCTCCCCTCGACTATGAAGCCCATAAACAAAGCTAACGAGGAATTTATAGTTGCTAACCTTGTTTGTGAGCGTAGCCGAAATGGATTGGGAGAGAGTGTCTTCGATTGCTACCTCCACTTTGTCCGGATTCCATAGGATAGCAATGCGTCCATGGTTAGTAATACCAAAGTTGTCACTAAACAACCATCCCGGAAGGCGGTTGTGCACAAAACGCGAGAGACGACGGTGGTCCGTTTTCGTCTCAATAAGTCCCAAAATATCCACATTATTTTTCCGGATGAGGCTAACCACCTTATCTTGTTTTAGGGGCATGTTGAAGCCCCTAATATTCCAAGTGGCAATGATCATTGTTTGGAGGAGGGGGGTTGAGTCCCCTTCTTCGTTGTGATGAGTTTTGCCGGCTCCTTTCGCATGAGAATTGCCCCCTTCATTTTCAAGAATGTTTTCGGCCCTATTTGGATTGGGCCTCCTCCATGCTTTGTGGATTTCTTCTTTCTTGTCACTAGTTGGAAGGGTTGTTCTTCCGATATCGTGTGTTCGGAATCCGTGTCCTCCTTGTCTTCATGATCGTGTTCACTAATG